AACCCGTATTCCAAACCACTGAAACAATTTGACAACCTTGGCCAACTTTTATTGTCGGATGGAGGGTAACGACAAACAGAAATGTGGAGCATTTCTCATTGATCTAATTTTATTTTAAGGGGTAAAGTTGGAATTAAAAAACTTTAGCAGGGTTAGTTAAGTAACTTTCTAGATCAATGAGAGATTCTACTCCTATTACTAAAAATATATATCAATGTGAAAAATTAACTCAAATCATACAAATTAAATACTGTGACATTCAAGATTTTCTCTGCATCGAGAAACAATTACCTCATTATTGACCAAAGTACTATAATTGAACAGTAGTTGGTCAACTCAGTTAACTTAGTAAATTTCTTGGTCAACAAGAGATTTTGCACTTGTCACTGAGAACATTATCTTAATGTGAATGTCGCACTCTCGGATGAGTGCGATTAGACGATGAGTCACACTAACGTGTGTGGCCCTCAAATATACATAAGCTTCCCCAAGTTTGCGGAAAGTAGGAAAAGGATTCAACTTAGGTGAACAACCACTCAAACTCGAGCCAAAACCTTCACTTCATGCATGGATTGACTTGTAGTTGGAGTTCATTTTTTCTTTTATTTGTTTTTTATATTACTTTTCCCTAAAACAAACGAAACTTATCGATAACACCAACAATATGAACCCTTAATTTCCTACAATATATGCAGACTCCCCAATCACCACCATGGACGAACCTTTACTTTCCAGGATTCAGACAGCACTTGGTGTCGGAGGTGACGATCAACAAGTAGAGTCTTCGAGCAGATCAACGGCCAGGACACCCAGAACACCGCGAAGAAGAAGCTACCCCTCAGGTTACCTTGATGTACTCAACTCCGATGTTATTGTCCCCATCATCACAACACCAAACTCTTCCTCCTACGCCAATCTCCTCGCGAACCTGAACAAGAACAAGCGGAGGCAGCTCAAGCACCGCTCCCACTCAGCTCCCTCGGTGTTCACTGACATCAAGGAGCTGATTCAAGACTCCGTCGATGATCCAAGACCTGCCCCTAAATCAACCCCTCTCATCGTTCGCCAGGCTTTCATCGGTGTCATTATCTATGTCATCATCGGCATTGTCATAATCTTGACAACAGGGGGTTTCAAGGGAGAAGTCACTTACAAGCCGGTTGATGCCTTGTACTTCATTGTGGTCACGCTCTGTACGATTGGCTATGGTGACATTGTTCCTGACACGACCGGTACCAAGCTCTTCACCTGTTTCTTCATCTTGGTCGGTTTTGGATTCATCGATATCCTGCTCAACGGTTTGGTGGTGTACATCTGCGACAGGCAAGAATCGGTGTTGTTGAGCACCATCGATGAGACGAAGTTCAACCACATGATTCAGACGTACATGATCGACAAAGAGAAAGGACGAATGAGGATAAGGATCAAGGTAGGGTTGGCACTGGGAGTGGTGATTGGTTGTATAGCTATAGGGACAATTGCAGTACATTTTCTCGAGAAAATAAGTTGGGTTGATAGTTTCTACCTCTCTGTTACTTCAGTCACAACTGTAGGTTATGGCGATTTCGGTTTCCAGACAATTGCAGGTAGGTGTTTTGCAATAATCTGGTTACTGGTTAGCACATTAGCTGTCGCTAGGGCTTTTCTGTACCTGACCGAGCTTAGAATCGACAAGCGGAATCGTCAAATCGCGAAATGGGTTCTTCAGAAGGAGATCACCCTCAGGGATTTGTTGGCAGCAGACCTGGATAATGATGGATGCATCAGGTACCCCCTAATTTTGTTTTACCCTAATTTTTCTGTAATTTGGAATTAAGCCAATTTTGATGAGTTTGCTTCTAGTAAAGTTTCCCCTAAATAGAGAAAGTGGAAACCAACTTTGTTTGGCATCTTAAGGGTTTTTGCCAAGTTCCTAAAAGCTCAAAACTTTTCCCAATATGCATTTATGTTAGCAGACGTGGGTTGCACCAGTTGGTTACGGCAGTGTGCCTGCCCCCTTCCCGTAGTTTAGAGTATCGTCCTGTAAAAAAAATATGTATATACATGTTAAGTTTATACTCTCTATCTTCAATGCTGCAGCAAAGCGGAGTTCGTCATTTACAAGCTTAAGGAGATGGGGAGAGTGGCAGAGAATGATATTCTGCAGATATGCAAGCAATTTGATTCTTTGGAACATAGCAACAATGACAAAATTACTCTTGTTGATCTAATGGGAAGCGACATGTGAGTGATTCCAATAAGGTTTCCCTCAATCGAAAGTCCGAGGCATCACACAGATCTTGCTACAGAAATTAACAGAAGCAAACTGTGAGAATTCCGAATTTTTACGCTACATGTATATAGAACTAGGCATATGAATTTGATGTTTCACTACAGAGCAGAAAACTCAATTCAATTCTTTTGTAAATACTTTTGGTTTCGAATAAAAATGGAAACTTTGACGATCTCATTTCATTGATTCTTTGGTTTCTGGAGTCATTTGACGAATTATATCAGTCCCTATAGTTTTAGTGAAAGGTCATTTGCGTTCTCTGATCTATAAAGCTTATGAGTTCATCAGAGAGCATGCACTGCTCTACACACATTCAGGTACGGACCATATACAGCCTGCTCATCTACAGGGTATGGAACGTGGTGGGAATGCAACTGTGTTTCGGGTTTTTCTTTTCTAATGCAAACCAAACATTTTAAAGCCGAAGCAGGGGCATCAAGGGCAGCTAAAATTCATTTAATCCTCAAATCTTACAGGATGCTGGCTGAAGCAATGAAGTACGCTCTCTACAATCCTATGGCAAAATGCACTGCAGCATGCAAACATAAGTTCATAGCAGAAGGTGGAGCCAACAGATTTATGTAACACTTGGCCTACCCGGCAGTATGGACAAAGAGATTATCATGAGCCAATATCAGTCAAATGTTGTTTAGTTTCTTTCTCCATTACACAATGTAAAATATTGTTTTACAATCTTTTTTTTTAATCCCGCAGTACAACTGTTTGATTAAAAAATGGGTGAAATATAGCCTACATAGGTAAACGTATGACAAAAAGCACGAAGAAAAAAGGAGGGATAATATGACATCTATTGATGACAACACGATAATCATATTATAAAGAACATAATGGACATAACTAGTTACCGTGAATAAGTGGTGTATCTTTTCCAATGTTTTAAAAAACTAGCCTCGGGGCGCGCCTAGGGTGCCTTTGAGGCTGGGCTGTGAGGCTAACTCCTCTGTTTTACTGGAGTGGGCGAAAGGCTTCGCCGGAGACGCCTAGGCGGCGGAGGGACGCCTCAAGGCGTCTCAAGCGCCTTGTCTGCCCTTTTTTTTATTTTTTATTTTTTAAAACCACCCAAACCCAAAATGATGTTGTTTGGGTAAGGGTTTTCAGTTTCAAAATACAGATTTCACAACCTTCGATCATCCTCCCAAGTCCCTGCAGCCTTCTTAACCCCCTTCTCCCGCGCCAGAAATACATAAATGCATCATCCCAGTCGATCGTCCTCTCCCAGTCGCCACGCCGTCATCGCCCTGCCGCCGTCACCCCAGCACCATCAACAAGCCCACAATCAAATCCCCTATTTTAATGGTTAAGGTTTCTGAAATTCTGAAAAAGTTAGGGATTTGATTTTTTGAATTTTTTTTTTTTTTTTTTTTAAACTGGTGTGAAAGCCGGAGTTGGAAAGTAGAAAAACAGAGAGGAGTGGAGGTATAAGGGGAGGAGGCTAAAGGCTTTAGGGGATGGGAGAAGGATACGTAGGGTTGCTGGGCTGTGTTTTATAATGTTAGGTAGAATTGTAGGGCTGGGTAGGCAAAATTGTAGGGCTGGGTTTTACTGACCTGCTTTGTTGCTTGATCCCTTGTTGGATGATCCAACTAATTGGGCTGTATGTGTTGTGTACATAAAAATAATTGAAAAATTAGTCCCATGTTGGTATTGTACTATTGTTGGAAAACTTCAACTGTATCTGTATGTGATAGATACCCCGTTTTTTCACTAATCAGGTTGTTTCTTCATGATTATGTGGTGCATCTCTGGTATACCGTATGTGGCATGCCTCATGTGAATTTTTCAAACAATTTTTGTTGGTTGTCCATCTTCTCAAAGTGTTCTATTAAGCTTTTTATTGGATTGTTTTATCCCATTCAAAAAATTACTTTTGTAATTGTTCTTGATATATTTCATTAATTGTATGCATAAATTGAGTATGGTTAATTGGTCATCATAGTAATTGTTGCATAAATTAATAGATTGTTGGTTCATTAACTGTATGCATCGAATGTTTATTATTTAGGCATTGAAGAATATGACATCTTCTTCTAAGAAAGATTCTTCTTGGTAATGGACAAAAGATTTGGATCTTGTCACCAAGTATTTCTATTGTGTTTTTTGTAACCACAAATGCACGGGTTCAATTTCTAGATTCAAACATCACTTGGGTGGTGTAAGTTCGGGAGGAATGATAAGTTGTAAAAAAGTCCCACCCAATGTGAAGGAAGAATGTTTTGCTAATGTTATGGGAACTAAAAAAAAGAGGAAAGCTAGCCATGAGTTATGTCGTGGTGGTGGAGAAGAAAGTGAAAGTGTCGATATGGGCACAACAAGGACACCATATGTAAGTAGTGGGAGTGGGAGTGTGAGTGCCACGCATTCACAACAAACCGGTTCTTTTCTACCACCTAGGTAAAGGGGACCACTTGATAGATATGTTACATCGGAAGCTCATCAAGCTACATTGAATACACCTTTCAAAAAAGAGGAAAGAAGACAAGCATCCCGAGCACTTGTGTGATGGTTCTACACTAGTGTCATTCCATTCAATGCGGCAAACAATGAACATTATGTTAATGCAATGAAATTGGTATCCAATTTTGGTCCCGACTTTAATGCTCCTATAAGCCATGAATATAGAACTTGGATGCTCAAATAAGAAGTTGAGGATGTATAAACTATGATGAAAGAACATCAAAAGGCTTGGAAGAGATATGGACGCACTATTATGTTGGATGGATGGTCGGATGGTAAAAGTAGGTGTTTAATCAACTTTCTTGTCAATAGCCCGCAAGGTACTTGGTTCTTGAAATTGGTTGATGCATCGGCCTCTATTAAGACTAGAGATTTGTTGTATGGGTATTTGGATGATGTTATTCAAGAAATTGGGGAGGAGAATGTGGTTCAAGTTATATCCGACAATGCTTCGAACTACAAGAATGTTGGGGCAAAACTTATGGAGAGGAAAGAGAAGGTGTGGTGGACTCCATGTGTGGCTCATTGCATTGATTTGATGCTAGAAGATATTTCTAAGATGGGATGGTTTGATGACACACTCAAACGTGGTAGGTGTATTTCAAAGTATCTATGTGGGCATCAATGGATACTAGCTTTGATGAGAAAGTACACCAATAATTTGGAAATTCTTCGTCCGGCGATCACTAGGTTTGCCACTTCTTTCCTTACACTACAAAGCTTACAAAAGCAAAAGGAAAATCTTGTTGCTTTGTTTGCCTCTCAAGAATGGTCGGAAAGTACCTATGCAAAAATCCCGTGAAGCAAAGTTGGCTAAGCATCATGTGTTACATGATCTTGAGTTTTGGGGTTGAGTTTCCTTTTGCATTAAGGGTGTTCTTCCTCTTGTTTGTGTTTTGAGAGAGGTTGATTCGGAGGAGAGACCTCCCATGGGTTTTATATATGAGTTGATGGATGCCGCAAAAGAGAAAATTGCAAGCAATCTTAACAAAGTGGAGAAAAAATATATGCGTATTTGGAGAAAGATAGATCGTAAATGGGACGATCAACTTCATCAACCACTACATGTGGCGGGCTATTACTTAAACTCACAATTTCGATATGAGGAAAATTTCTCAGATACTGATGAAGTGCGAAATGGGTTGTTTGCTTGCATGGATAGGATGCTTGGGAAAGGGAAAGAATGTGAAGAGGCCGATTGTCAATTGGATTTATATAATGATAAACGTGGTCCATTTGTGGATTCTATGGCTATGCAAATTAGGAAAAAGCGAACACCAAGTAAGATTTAATTAATCAATTGTTAATATCTTTTTATCATTAACCCTTAAATTACTTACCTTACTAATATTGTTTTTTTTTAGCGGCTTGGTGGGAGCGCTTTGGGCATAAAATACCCGAGTTAAGGAAGTTTGCTGTCCGAGTTCTAAGCCTTACTTGTAGTGCGTCGGGATGTGAGAGGAATTGGAGCACATTTTCAATGGTAAGTAAATATATTATTAATTTATTAGTATCTTAAGTGTCATTTTTGCTTAAGACGATTAGACTTGAGTAATAATATAATTGATTTATGTGTAGATTCATGCAAAAAGAAGGAATAGGCTTGAACACAAAAGGATTAATGCTTTAGCCTATGTCAAGTATAATTTGGCTTTACAACAGAGAAGTAAGAAAAGAAGGGAGAAGTATGATCCTATTGTTGTGGAAGAAATTGCCTCTGATGATGAATGGATAACGGAGATAGAAGATCCCATTCTTCCCGAATATCCTACATGGCTTGAGGATGAGTTATTGTATAATGTTGAGGCCGTAAGGAATGTGCCACCCCCGGTTTATGAAGGTGGCCCGTACATTTGAGAGCCTAGAGAGTCTTCTCCTCCTCATCTTCGTGAGCCCACTCCTCCTCCTCCTCATGAGCCCACTCCTCCCCCTCGAGAGCCTACTCAACCTCGGGGTCCTATTACATACAAAAGAAAACGGGGTAATGAAGAATCCTCAAGTCGAAGAAATGTGGAGTATGATTATGTTGACTACAAAAATTACAGAACCTACGTGGCGCGCAGGCCGAATAACTAATGAGCTAACTAATGTCCTTCGGTTGAATGCAGGGCGTGCCAACTCGTCGGCCGAGCTAGGCCGAGGAGTAGAATTTGATGTGGTCGCGTTGAGCGCGCTGTTGACTTCTGTATCTTGCGATTGCGACCGAGGAAGGAACGCTCTCGGTCTCTGGATTCTATAGCCTGAAGACAAGGCTACTAATTCTACGGAGTTCACAACTCGTCGAAGCCTGATTCGGCCACTGTGATTATATTCGTAAGGGTATAAGCACGCCGAATTGAGACCAAACTATACGGGCACAGGTATTCGAATGTGATGTATGTCTTGATGGTAAACGTAGTTCGGCCGTCGGAATGCCGAACCCTGAAACTTATTTGTGAGTATCCAATCATAAACTCGCTCGGCCTCCAATGCGCCGAGCAGAGCAATTCGTAACACCCAACTATGCCGAAATGGCTTAGTAAGATGACCTCTACCAACAAAGGTTCGAAAACCTTCCTCGGCCGAGACTTAGATAGATAATCGGTCGACCTCGACGCAGTGCTGTTTATCCAAACTGAAGGTGTGTCTCGGTCGGCTGATTCTGCGGCAGCAGTGCTGTTTATCCAAACTGAAGGTGCTCACCGGTTGCTTCCACAGTGCTGTTTGTCCAAACTGAAGGTGTGTCGGCGGGAAAAGAAAAGGAAAAAATCTCAAAGTGTTTGAGAGAATTTGCGCAGGGCAATTGTATGCTGATGTTGAAGGGGCTTTTCCATTGCGTAATTTCTTGTATTTATAGCACCTCGCTCCTTGAATCCCATTCTGATCTGGATTGGGAGTCCTTATCCCATTTCACCTTTAACTCGAACAACCCTAGTCCTACTGGGATTCTGAATTCTCCTCCTTTTGAGGCTTTATCCCTTGCTGGTCGAGAATCCTGATTGCACCAGGATTTCCTCGACCTTTCCTCACTTATCTGGACTACTTTTAAGATAGGATCTCGACGACCCTGCCAGCTGGTCCGGGTTTCATTATTTGGCCCATTGCATGTCATTACCTTGGGCCGAGCCCGTCTTGCTGCTCGGCCCAATCCCAATATTTTGGGCCCAAACATTGCCCCCTCGCTTCTGAGGTCGCCGACTGTCACTCTTAGTCGGCTCTCGGCCCTGAAGAAGCGAAAACATTTATTGCTTTTCTGGACCTTACTTCATTAATGACCATTATTCCTGCATATTTATGAGACATGATTGCATCTTCCTCGTTGCCCCCAACGCATGGCCACGCGTCAATTCTCCGTCTTTCAAAAGCTTCAATCATGGGCCTCGAAACCGTGCACTAATTGAACCGTCTTATCCTCATTAAATACATTGAACTTGTCGCCGCACGCAATCGTGCGTCCTGGATTTTCGACTCCTCGATTCCATTTTCGCAGGTTCCCGAAATATCCGAAATGATTGCAGACTTTCCCGGTTAACTTTCCCCCCAATTTGGAACCACGCTTTTCAAATTCCAGTGTCTTTCAAAATTCAGGCGTTTGATTTTCTATCTGAAAAGCCTATAAATACCCACATTTCAATCTATTCGCTTCTTACGCCTTCAGATATTCCAAACTCCCTTGCTTGTTCAAACCAAAACTTCTAGTCCTTCTGCAATATTTTCTCCAGTTCTTCTCCCTGCAATATTTCCTTCCAACACACCTCTCTTTTCCACAAATGGCCTCCTTCATTTCGAAGCTTTCCGAGGAGATCAACAAATGCAAGGACTTTATCGACCGGAACACAATCAAAACGGTACGCTTCGAGGATGACATGGCCGCTTCTCATCAAATTCTGGGCCCAATTTTCAAAGATGCAGTGCCGTCGTGCATCACCGACCTTCTCAAGGAGCAGTGCCTCACACCCCTGCTTCAAGGGTTAGACTGGTCAAAATGGTCCTTGGCTCGGCCTCAAGGAGCCTGGCCCTCGACCACCACAGCTTGGGCCGCCTGGGTGGACCGAATGAGATCATTCTTCGGCGAGGAGTGGAAAGCTCTTGGTATCTATGATGCCATCATGCTCTCGACCATGGAGATCACCATGGACAAAGAGCTGCTCATGGCGGCCTTGACCCTGTGGTGCTCGGCTACCAACACTATGATCCTTCCATTTGGCCCCCTAGGCCCCACAGTGCTCGACGTCTCGGCTATCCTTGGGACATCTCCATCCGGCCTCCCAATTGATGCCGCTCTTTCAGGATGCCCCTCCTCTCTCGACCTGAAGGCGCTTTTCGACGAGCGGGCCGTCGAAACGCTCAGCAGAGGCGATCGGGAGCCCTCGAGAGAAGAAGTTCACAAGCTTCACAAAAACTTCTTCAATTACAACACCCTCATCCTCCATTTCGCCGGCCGGGGGGAAGAGAATCTCAGGAAGGGGGAACATGAAGCCTTCCTCTTCTACTGGTACAACAAATTTATTTGTTGTACCAGGTCGAACAAGTGTTTGGTCGAGAATATGCCGGTAGCCCAGGCCCTGGCTAGTGGTCATTCTTTGGCGTTCAGCCCGGCTATTCTTGCCAACCTTTTCCGTTGCTTGGCCGAGACGACCATCAACAAAATCGACCCGCACCAGAACGGGCCCCTCTGGGTCTTCCAACTCTGGCTGCAGATCTATTTTTCCACTCTTCGGCCAGAGATCCCCGCTTTCCAGCGCTCGGCCGCTCTCGGCCCCCAACTGGCCTCCCGACCGGCACCTCCTCACCGGGCTGACGAGGTCCTTAAGCACTTTTTCAGTCTCGACGTCCTTTCGGACGACGAGTTCCTGGTGTGCCGGCGCCAGGAGTACCCTGCTTCGATTGGGCTCCCGACGGCAGCCTGGGCCGAGGCCGAGGATGCAGGCCTCCGTCAATCCTGGGGGTCAATCGTACTGGCTCGCGACCTTCCCCTTGGTTGCGACGCCCGCCGAGCCAGCTGGGAGGTCTACCACCCCCACTTTGTCGCCCGGCAACTTGGCTACCTCCAAGGTTGCCCCGTTCCCTTGCTCACCTCCCGTTCCCTCTTGAGCCGGGGGCGTCTTTCTGGTTCTTCCGAGAGGGAATGCCGGTCGATGGAGCAAGAATTCCAAGATCGGTGTAAGAAGTTCCGTCCTCGGCCGATCGTCCCGGAATCCTTGGGCACCGAGACCTTTGGGGATTGGTGGGACGAGTACACCTGCGACTTCTTCGGCGCCTCGGTCGAAGACGTGGTGAGCAAAGTCTTTGGCGATCGGCCCGAACTAGCGTCCTCGACCCAACCTAAGGAGTCGGCTCAAGGTATATTGTTGACTAATTACTTTGTCATTTCAAAACTTGCCCTTGTTAACAATTACTTTGCCTATTTCAGGGGGTCGTGGGGCGAAGAAGGTTGAAGTGGTTGCCGCGGCGGCGAGGGTGAAGAAGTTGGCGCCCAAGAGGAAAACCATCGCCACCGAGCGGCCAATCCCCTCCAAACGCCCCCACCGAGAGGCCGATCCGGAGATTGATGCCCTTCGCCCTTCTAAACGCGTCAAGAAATTGGCGAAGAAGGGCGACCGGGAGATTCATGTCGTCTCCAGTGACGTTACTGGGACGCCTGCTTCTGCCGGTTCTCCTACTGTGCCGGTTGCCCCGGCATCTCCATTCCCGATCTCTCCGGTCGTTCCCCTCCCTGGAGCCACAGCCGATCCAATCGTCGCACCAGCTCCAGCTTCGGAGCCGGCCGTGGCGCCTGCGATGGGTAACCCGGCTGCGCCTATTGGTGCGCCCTCGACTCCCACGGTCATTCTGGAGGTAAAATTCTACTTCCACTTGTTTCCTTAGGTCTCTGGTCGTAATGCTAAATGTTCTCTTTATGTTCAGGATATCGAGAGCGAAAGTGACGAAGTCCCGCTGGAACGCCGTCGCGGACGAGTTAATTCTTCTCTCGTTCATCCTCCTCCGGTTGTTGAGGCGACCGCTCGACCGACTCCTCCTGCGGCGGATCGCGGCAAGAGGCCCATGGCCGACCCTGAGGCCACGGCCGAGTCGCCGATCCATCCGCAGGATGCAGATCTCCCCATTCCTCCGCAGGAAGTCTCCTCGGCCTATGTAAGTCTTCTATTTTTTGTATTAATTTTCCAATGATACGTTCTTAAAAGATTATTAAAATGTCAGGTGCCCGATCATTCATTTCACCGGCAATTTTATGCGCCGAGGGGTGTTATTTATATTTCCTGGCCGCCGTCGTGGCCATCAAATATAGATAACCTCCATCGGCCGCGTGAATTGCGTAGCGGTCTAAGGCACTGGGCTCGGCCATTAAGTTCCCTGGGTTCGAGCAATGACCCAGAGGGCATGGCCGAAGTCTCCTCTCGGCAGGTCTAAAACAATCCCCTTTTCCTTTATGCATTATATCACGACGTCTGTCTTTCCTTCTCACCGATCTTCTTTTATGTGCAGCCGTCGTGGGAAGTAGAGCTTGACGCCCTTCTTCAGAGCACGACCGGTGAGGCTGGTTCTTCTGCTGCTCCAGCCGAATCGGCGGGAACTACGCCTGCCGAGGTCTTCGTGAAGCTGCACGAAGTCTTGTCTCTGACTGCCTCCCAAGCTCTCCGGTGCAAAGGCCTCGACTCCGTTGGAGAGTGTCTAAATGACCTCGCCAGCGGTGGTCATCTAAGCCCGGAGGGTATCTCTTTTCTGACCGACCTCCTGGAGCGGACTCGGCAACACTTCTATGTCCTCGAGCGAGCCCTTCAAGCCGAGGATGACTTGAAGGCTGCCAAGGTCGCGCAAGAGGCCGGCCGAGCTGAGATGGAGGCAATCAAAGCTAAGAAGGCGACGCTGACTGAGTT